TTTTTTTTTTTTTTTTTTTTTTTTTTTTTTTTTTTTTTTTTTTTTTTTTTTTTTTTTTTTTTTTTTGAGGTTCCAAGTTTACTGGGCAGTGATCACTCCGATCTATTCCACTTCTGCAAATTTCCCTCCAATTCTCTCAAATCAATCTATGGCTTCAATCTCTTTCAGCCCTCGCACCGTCGAAGACATCTTCAAGGATTACAGCGCTCGACGTACTGGCCTCGTGCGAGCCCTTACTTATGGTGATTTCTCTCTCGTACTTCTCACCGTGATGTTTTTATGGTTTTTTTTTTGGGAATGTGTTCGAGGAATTGGGTTTTGAGTCTGATCTGCCGTTTGGTTCTTGTCTTGCAGATGTCGATGATTTCTACTCGCTTTGCGATCCTGGTGAGTGTTTGTTCTTTCGAGTTTCTTAGTTTTTTGTTTGATTGGTTTGAGAAAGGTGGGATGATTGCGTTGTTATGAAGTTTTGCGCTTAGGGTTTTAGTTTGCTTTGTGGAAATATGTTTGTGTTTTATTTTATTTTGTTCTGCCATGTTCTTCGCGAGCGTCGAATTGGCGGGAGAAACTTGCGGTTTTGTTTGGCTTTTGACCTAATTTTAGGGTTGGTTTTGATGTTGAGTTCCTAATCTTCTTTTTCCAGAGAAGGAGAATTTGTGTTTGTACGGACACCCGAATGAGTCTTGGGAGGTGACTTTGCCTGCCGAGGAGGTTCCATCCGAGCTCCCTGAGCCTGCGTTGGGGATCAATTTTGCTAGAGATGGGATGAAGCGCAGAGATTGGCTTTCCTTGGTGGCTGTGCACAGTGATTGTTGGTTGCTTTCTGTGGCGTTTTACCTCGGTGCTCGACTCAACTGCAATGAGCGGTAAGTTATATACCTTTAGGAGCATGAGAATCTGGTGAATCTTAATTTCATGATGAAGCATGAGGACGTTTTTTCAACTGCTGCCTCAATGATCTTTGTTTCACATCCTCCTGCACTGGTACAATGCGTATACCACTCGTGCATTCCAATTATATGCAGCTTTTTAGGTGTGTATATGATATCCTAATTTGTTTGATGACTAAGGTCCATTTTACTTGGGCTTGATCTCTCATCCTGTTATGGTATACAGTCAGTTGGAAGTTGGAAAGATCATATTCTTCTCATCATTGTGAAGAAAATTCTTCTACACAGGGTTGCATTATGCATTTTAAGACGCCAAGTTAGAAATAGAATTACCTGAGTTAACTGTTACAAACCTGCGATCTTTCCTTCCAATTTGCTTGACTTCCTCAACCTGTTCTGGCTCTTTCTCTCTGTGTGTATATGCATCTCCGCCTCCAAAATCCATAGCAGAATTTTTCTTTTGTAAGTGAAGAAACAACTACCATTTAAATATGTATCTGATAGGGTCTCGGTGTCCATGTTGACTGCATCATTGCAGTCTTTAAAATGCTCTTTGAGATAAATGCCTCTTCTATTTTCGTTTTCATTTTCTTATGATTGGTAAGAATCATTTTTTGTGGATGAGATGACTTTTGGTCTCGTCATATAAAAATTCACACTTGTAGCTTCCTTACTAAGAGTTTTACTAGGCTTGTGGCTATTTGTTTTTGGGCTCGTGAAGTCACACTGTGGCTAGTTATTTTAGGGCTCATGAATTCACTTGTGGCTAACTATTTTTTGGCTGGATGACTCTCTCATTTCCAATGAGTTTATTATTGAATGGGCTGGAAAGAAGAGAAAGGGGTGTTGCAATCAAGCCTTATCTTTAAAAAGTTGACGTGGAACATGGTAGATCGAGATGTCCTAGGTGCTATTCCATTTGCAAAGAGCTTTGGACATTGTTGGAGAAAATGATTGGGGAATGTATCAGTAGTATCAAACTATTTTTTTGTCATCAACAACAAACCCATAGACAAAATTCTACCAAGGGCCTAAAGACAGGCCAGTCCACTCTCCCCCTCCCTATTGACTAATTGGTGCCTTACTTAGGTAGACTCATTTTACATGGTTCCTTGGTTTGATTAATGGCTTCAATTTGGAGATGCTTTGTTGTTCACCCATTGTACCCAATTTGCAGTATTTGGAGATGTCTTGGGGAAGGTTGGTCTATAACCTGGGTCAATGCCTCTCTTTCGGAGCATTTGACAAAAGAGTTTTATTATGCATCTTTATCTCTTAACAGTTGGGGCTCTTTCATATAGTTTTTGATTTCTCTTGGCTTGGGTTGTTGTTGTTGACGGCGTTTTTGTTGCTCAGTTGTATATCCTTTCACTCTGTTTTTGAAATTTTTGCTAAAAAAAAAATAAAACATACATACCCACGCCTCTGATTCTAGTAATCTATCCAGGAGAAGATTCTTACACATGCTTGACCATGTGAACTCCCCATTACTCTGAAAATTAAACCAGCCCAAAGTCTTTCGTCAGATTGAGGAATTTTCACTTGTGCTTCTTCCTCAGTTGGGTATCTCTTTTGCGTTCCATTTATGTAGAAATCATCTCCTGAAGGTGTTGACAACTATCACCTTTAGTCAGGATAGTGAGTGATAGAAGTGAAGTTTGAAAGTAAGCAGGAATATCCGGTGCATTGGAAAGCTGTTTTGATGTGTAAATTGTTTGTAGTGTTTGAGGTGTTGATTATGTAAATTTTGAAATAAATTACTCTATTTTAAGTTGTGCTTTATACTAACATCAAACATAACTTATATACATATATATGTTATACTGGACACAGCCTTGAAGTTAACTAAAGAATTGAATTTATAGGAGAAAATTTTGGAATTCCTTTTCCTCAGTAGAAGCCAAGGTCTTTGAAGTTAATAAAATAGTCGAACTTATAGGAGAAATTTTTGAAATTCCTTTTTTTCCGTAGAAGGAATTTAATTAAACAATCAACTTACAGGAGCAAAATTTGTAATTTTTTTTTTTTTTCTTCCATAGAAGCCAAAGAATACACTTAATAGCATTAGACCAACGCACCTTAGCATTGACAGTTAACCTCTTAAAAAGACAGTGATGCTGTCATCTATCCTTTTGGCAGGGCCCCAAATTTAGTAAAAAAAGACTGCAGATAAAATTCCTAACCATTCTGGCGAAAGAACTGAAGCAAAAAAAAGAAAAAAGTAAAAAAAGAAAAAAGGTTTTGTGACTCATCTCTGTTGCTGCTGCACATTTGGCAGACTGGAGGGGGAAATAATTATATGAGGATTACTCCTTTGAACCTTGTACGAAGTGTTGTGGCCACTCTGAGTTGGGGAACAAATCAAGAATTTGGCTTTCTTGGGGCTAGTGCCTTTTCAAATGAGCTTGCTAAGATTCTTGTCTTGAAAGTGGATTTCTCGAGAGAGTTTGTCATTGGCTAACTTCAAAAAGAGTCTCCTCAGTATTGTTAGGGGTCCAAAAATTTTTATCCTTGGCTTGGCTTGGCTTGTGAGGATGTCTTGGAACACACCCCAGTTGGCTGGCATTCCTCCATTTGTCTGCCTAGCCAGGCCACTTCTCAAATGAACATTTGAAGTCTTACTATCATCATACCAACACGTATGAATAGACATGAACTTGGAATTAGCAACAACATAAATAGAAGGGAAGGAAGTTCCAAGAGGCAGTGATGTAACCCAATATAATCCTCCCCATCACCATGCATAAGACAATTATTCGTTTTAAAAGATTGGCTGGTCTTCAAAATATCTTTTCGAGGGCTACAAACAAACTTTGAAGCCGTCCAGTTGACTTGTACATTTGTAGTGAGATTAGGTGGTGGATTAGTGTTTCCAGATGTAGACAGTAGGTGGAGGAGGTGTAGGGTATGCAATTTAGGATTTAGTTTTGTGGACAGGCCAAACCTCTCAAGGTGCTTGGTAACCTGTCATATTCCTTTCTTATTTCTGGAGCAATTTTACTTAATTTTTATATCATCTTCTGGTTTTCATGAGTTCTATTGGTTGCTTATGAAAGGGTATCAGTACAATATTTCCCCTGCTCCATTTGCTAGAATGTTATGGTTGAATTACGAAAGCTCACTTGGCCAAAGTCACCCGTGATTGTTTGGAAAAGAAAAGAGAAAGGAAGTTAATGTAGTGATCATTCTTATTTTAGATCCACTCTCTTTGAAGCTAGGATTCTGGTGATCAACATTGCATTTGGATGTGCATATTAGCTGATTAGCTGGTCCTAACGACTTGGGATTGAGGTAAGGCGGTTGGAAGCGAGGAATGGATATAAGTTGTGATGTTTTCCTGCACCAAATTCATAGACTTCATAGAGTTATAATACATTTAGCAGGGGGCAGGGGAAAGTCATTGTGAATCTGTGATGGGTTTTGAAGTAGGTAAGAGGAAAAGAAAGATCTAATGCCCAATTGAGTTGGGATTAAAATGGATAACAGTAAGAACGGAAGGATGAAAGCAATGTGAAAAACGGGGTCTCCAGTTCACAAACTAAGGCTGAATACTTCAGAACTTCTTTGTTTGCCTGTTGGAAAATAAATTTCATGAATAAATAAAATATTCAAGAGGCCAAAGCCTACTGGTCATGGGTTATTGTAAGACTTCCATACTTATTGTGATTATTGTAATAGTTTTTTTTATTATTATTTTTATATAGGAAATGATAAAATATAGATCAAAGAGATCATTACAAAAAAAAGGAATAAACTAATACCTACATACACTGGTGCAAAAAAGAGCCCTAGTTGGCAATGATACTCACAAGGTTTTAATTACAAAAGTCATTGGAGAGTGCACCTAGTAGAAGCAAAGACAGTCTCTTAAGACCCAAAAGCCCATGTAGTTCGTCTCCAAACCCTTGAAATTTTTTTGGTTCCTCTTGAACCGAACCCTCCATGCTGATTCCGAATTGATTTCACAGAACTGAGGCTTTCCCCTTGAAAGGAGAACTGCCCTCGAGGGAGTACCACATCTTGTAGTCAAAGGTGAAACATTAACTAAAACTGAAAGTATCTAGAAGCTTGCCCCTACTTTTGTTGGCGAACCCACAATGAAATAACAAATGGTGGGGATTTTCCAGATTAGCTTTTGACCGGAAACGCAGTAGTAGGAAGAAATCAAGAAATTCACAAACCTGTTTTGGAGCTTATCACAAATATTTTAGCTTTCCCTGAATAAGAGTCCATAGGAAAACTCGCCTTACATAAAATGTTTCATTGAATAATGAAATAGAGAAAGGTGGAGGCATTTCTCTAGTTAAATGAATTACTAAAACAATCCAAGACGAGAGGACAATAAATATGTTTTAGTATGGAATCATTTGTGTTTCAAAAATATTTTCCTTATGAAACCAGATGAATTTTGTATCCAAGTCCTTTCTAAGGAAAGAATGTTGTAATATGCCTAGAGCTGCATTTGTGCTTTATTATGTTCGTGTACGTGGGCTGTTGAGTAAGTGCCGTCAGTAGGAGTTCTATGAGGCATGGGTCAACCATTCTGTAGTGTACTGTCGGGAGTTGGATAGGAGTAAAAGAGAAGTGAGGAAGGTAAGGAAGTAGTTGAGTGTTTTGGGAGAGAAGTAGATCTCTTGAAGGTTTGATAGTTTGTGATTTTCCTTTCTTCTATGTATTTGAATTTGGTATTTCATGCAAGAATTCTCTCAGTTTCAACTCTCGCTTTGTGTGTATGAGAGAAGCTTCATTTTTCTTTTAGCTCAAGCTCATTTAAGAGCATAGATATTTCTCGAGTTTCCACCACATCTTTTGTTTGCCCTGCTCTAAACTTAAGTATTATAGTAGGAGGTCAACCGAGGCATTTGAAATCATGCTCTGATTGAATGTGCTCTCTCACTGCTGTCATTTTACCAGCTTCTTTAAGTTTAACAAAATAGTTCCATTCTTTGGTGCTTTTTATTTTTGTGGGTAAAAAATTGTTTCATTGAATTAACAAGAGATTTTTCTGTAAATTGGTGTAGAGCCTCTTCTTGCATATTTTTAGGCAATTTAAAATCATCCTAAGTCCATGTGACGTTTTAGCACTTGAGATCATGGTCGAACTTCATTGTTACTTTCTTTTATCATCCATGTGATTAAAACAGAACAACAATTGGGTTGATCTAACAGTAAACAACATGTGCTCTTGTCTTTCCACAGGAAGCGACTATTTAGTATGATTAATGATCTACCCACTCTATTTGAAGTTGCGTCTGGAAGGAAAGCTGTTAAAGACAAACCCAGTATGGATAGTGGAAGTAAATCCAGAAACAGCTCAAAGGTGAAATGGTCTAGTTTTCCGAAGCTGCAATTTTTATTTTATTGTATGCCTTTTCCCTTGTCTGAGAACTTTAGGACAACAACCAATTTTATAATTGCAGAGGTCACTAGATGGGTCAATTAGAATCAGCAATCCAAAGATAATCGATGAGAGTTATGGAGAGGATGAGGATGAGCATGGTGATACTCTGTGTGGAAGCTGTGGGGGGAACTACAACGCAGATGAGTTTTGGATTGGATGCGACATCTGTGAAAGGTGGTTCCATGGAAAATGTGTGCGGATAACACCAGCCAAGGCAGACAATATCAAGCAGTATAAATGCCCCTCTTGCAGCACAAAGAAAGGAAGACCATAGCGCGCGGAGATACCACAATGTAAAGCATTTTGTGGGAGTTAACCTTTATGTTCTGCGAAAACTCGTGGTAAAGACCGAAAAAAGTGAAGGTACATGTTAGGGGATTTACTTGTGAGGGTTTATTATAGGGTTTATAAAGTTAGCATGCTAACGGATAATTAAGCATGAGTTAAAGCTAGTTTTCGTTTCGGTTTATTCATACATGTTCGAGCCGTATAGTTTAGAGTTTAAAGATTGATCTTGCCTTCCTTATAATGATATGAAAATATCGTTCATGTTAGGCTTTACTTGTGGGTGGGTTTGGGGCATCATTATTATTTAACATACAAGTGAGCATGGGTTGATTGTTACCTTCCATTACATAATCTCTATCTTTGCGTTCTTTGCCATGGCCTTAGGTTTCTGCTAGATTTATGGCCTTCAAGTTTTCTTTCTTTTTCTTTTTAACCATTTCATTAGGCTAATTTATACAGTCTAAGCCACTCCTTTTAGGCTTGGACTGAACTTATTTGATACTTATCTTCTGGTATGATTTGATGGCTCAAATTGGCCACCAATAGTTTTTGGGTTTCTAAAAAATATCATATCCCAATGAGTGGTAGGTTTCATTTTCTTTTCTATCGTCCCCAAGTCGAAAATATATTGTTTTTGTATATGCTTCACCTTCGTATTCAAGTTAGTTAGTTATCAATATTTGGGATGTCATATTCAATTTTGTTATCCGTATCTATTAGGGCTTTTAATTTTCAATTTTGTGTTTAATATATTAATAATTTTAGACGAAAGTCATATTCAATTTTGTTATCGGTATCTATTAGGTCTTTTAATTTTCAATTTGTGTTTAATATATTAATAATTTTAGACGAAATCATAAAAGTTTATAATCTTAGACATAATATTCAGTCTTATATCTAATAAATTGTTTTTTTTTTAATATATCAAGAACATATTAAATATAGAGTTTAGGGTTTAGGGTTTAATATATCAACCTATTGAACTTAAAGTTTAGTTTATTAAAAATTTTATGGACGCGTTAGTCACAAACCTAAAAGCTACCCCTACAACCCAATTTGGTAATGGATTATATCAATATTGAATTTTTCTCGGCTACCGAAAATTTAGGAAAGTAGCTATGTAGATGGAATTCAATTGTGAGATGATTTAGAAAAAGAAATTTGTTATTTAGGTTAAGATATTAAAAATTAAAATGACGTGACATATTTTTCAAATATTGCAATATGGTCCTTTCTTTTCTCTTAATTTCAAGGTCTTCATGATTGAGAGACGAAAGAAGCGAATTTAGAAGAAAGAAGATATACATCTTCATCTCTCAAGTTAAGCTCGATTTTGAACATTGTGAAGTTATGATATATAATTAACAATGGTACTGAATTAAGTATAAAAAACCAATATTTAATTATTCTCATCTTTAAAATATTAATATAAGATTAATCGACTAGAACTCATAAGTTTAAACAACTTTCAAGTTGAGTCATGATATGAGTTCAAACATACTTGTCTAACCAAATAAAACACGTAACCTTATAATGAGAGAATTTTCACGTGGGCGTTTAACTAAATAAGATAGACAACTTTACAATGAGGAGAACTTTCAAAGGAACAAAAGAAAAATAATTCAAAAAGAAATGATCTTTTGAAAAAGATAAACAAATTAGATCAATCTTATCTTTAATAAACTAAAAGAATATGATGGGTAGATGGATCGTGAGCTTTGATAGATTCGCTCGTGGGAATAACATTTTCAATATAGAAAAAAGCTAACATGATAGGACAAATAACTAAATACACTAAAATAGACGTTTATAAAACTTTTTATGAATTAAAGATTATATTCATACCATCCCAACTAATTAAATTTTTCTCTCAAATTTTAAAATATTAAGTTAAATTATAGAAACTTTTAAATTTTAAAAAGTGCCTCATCCAAGTTTTTTTTTTTTTTTTTTTTTTTTTTTTTTTTTTTTTTTTTTT